CTTGCAGAAGATACATGGTCCTATCTGGAAAAAAAATTATCAAATCTTTAAAAAGTGCAGGAATAAATTGTGAAAAAGAGCAGGACCAGGGTGGACCATGAAGAAAGAATCAAGGTGAGTAAAACTGAAAGGGCACTTGGTTATATTTATGGTGCCTATGGAAACTGACCCCACCTATCCATCCATCCATCCATCATGGAGTTTCAGACTCAGCACAGTGTGACACTCTCATACTGTCCTTTCCACAGGTTTGCTAGAAAACAGACTCTGGAACCCATCTGTCTTATCAAGGCCTCCAACATACCTGCCCCTTCTTGTTCATTCTGTTGATAAAATGAAACAACGTAATGTTCGGCAGAATATCTACTCAGTTCAAATCTTTTCAGGCTCTATTAGACAAAAGGTAGGAGACTTAACACAGCCCTGGAGCAAGACCATACATGTTATACTTCTGGTAGTCCTTCTTGATAGTAATAGAAAAAAATGCATTTGCCAGATCAAGAGCTGCATACCACAGGGCTTGGTATGTGGCCTTGTCAACCTGCTCTGAGAAGATTCCAATTCTGACAGAGCAGTTGCAATTGATGCTACCACTTGGCTGTGTTTGCAGTCATCCACTACCATTCTCTACAATTTGACAATTTCTGCAATGGCCAGACTGGTAAATACTTTAGGACTTTAAAAATGACACTAGGGGCACCCGGGTGGCACAGTCATTTGGGTATCTGACTCTTGATTTCGACTCAGTCATGATCTCAGAGTTGTGGGATCAAGATCCACATCAAGATCCACATGGGGCCTCGTGCTCAACAGGGAGTTTGCTTGGGAATCTCTCTCTCCCTTTGCCCCTCCCCTCGCTCATGCTCTCTCTTTCTCTCTCACATTAATTAACAAATTGATTAATTAAAGATGGCACTAATCTCTGGCATTTTCTGTCACGTGCAATGCTGATTTTCATATACTCGCATGGTCAAGGCAAGTTAGTTTGGGAGCATTCTCTCCCACTATGACAGTTCTCAGCCTCATAGGCTAAGGCACCAATGTAAAGGTTCTGTCAGTGACCAAGTAGGTACGTCTACTGGTACTGTTCAGGGTGCAGGAAAATGATGAATGAGTGAGTCAGATTCCTCAGCAAACAGACTCTGAAATAGAGATTTGTGTTCAGAGAGTTGACTGAGGAAAGCTGTCAGCAATAACACCTGTGCAGAAATATGGGCAGCAGCATTTGGTACAGAAAGAAGTTGAATTGTGGTACAGAAGCAATACAAGCCTCCACTGATTCCACGGGGGTGGGGGGGACTTTGAGGCTGAGACCACCCTTCAGAGCTGTAACACATTGAGGCAAAGGGGCAAGGCCCTTATACTCCTTCACTGATCATTCATTGAATTCAATGTGCCACGGGGGAGGCAGCTCCCATAGCAAGAGACAGCTCCTTTCAGCAGAGGGTAATTTCTGGGGAAGAGCTCAGCTGTGGGGCAAGAGCAGGCAACATCATGGCAACCAGGGAAATAAGCACTGCAACCCTTAAGAGGGGGTTTTGGTGGTTCCTGGTAACATCCACTACTAATACCCAAATTTGGCAAGTAAAAAGCAACACATAAAAATACTGCATGGCATACCTACACTAAAAAGATATTCACGATTTACCTAAAATTCAAACATAACTGAGCATTGTCTATTTTATCTCACTACTCTGTGCACCATACATGTATTAAAAGGCCAGTAGAAGAAGGAATTTCAAGGGTATTAATGCATTTCTCTTTTGTAATCTTGTACTTTGTACAGTACTAACCCCACATGGACAGGAGAGACCAAAAATAAGAATTGGTTAGCTTCGACAATTTTTGCTCCACTCACCAATCCTGACTTGGTCTAATTATAGGGATTCAAGGCCGCTCACTACATTTTACCATAGGAAACAGAAATAAGCTTAGGAAGAACACTAGCAGTTTTAAGGAGGGTGGATTGTGGGAAGGAGAGCACACAGTATACAGACAGGGAAAGAACTGGAGCAGTGGCAGTGGGAATGAAAGGGAAGATATGAGAAGAGCCACCCCTGAGATAGATTCAAAGAATTTACTAACTGTATGAGACAGAAATACAGAAGGTGAGCGGAATGTAACAAAATTGTATGTTCTTGATTTTAGATAATAGGAAAAAAAAGAGAGGATATGGTAAAGATACACATAAAAAAATACATAAATAGGTTTGAAAGGATAAAATTTATATTTGACACACTATTCACCTGAATGTATAATATATGTGAATCCATTACTAATATACTATACCAAGATGTTGATATTGATCAAGTGATCATTTTCCATTAAACATATTTTACCTGAGACTTCATAGATACTTTTAAACACCTAGCATTTCTACAAGCTGTGCACAGGATGTTAAATTATACTGGGAATTCTATTAGCTATTAATAATTCTTACATATCCATAATTCCTGTAAACACTAATTTTTTAAATTTAAAATCTTAACTGATGAAAGAGTTTATAAAATGTGTTTTTCTTCCACAGCAATTCCTAACTTTATTTTATTTAAAATAAATATCTGTATGTTTTATTTACATTACTTAAGAGTTCTTAAAATGTGGAACTCTGGTCTTTTTCCTTAATTACAAAAAAAGAGAAACTACTGCCCATGTTACCCTCAGCAATGCTGTCTTTCTATCTGGCACTCTCCCCTTTACCCGTTTTATATTATGCTGATTTTTCCAATTCAGTTGATTTTTCCTGAATCACGATATTCAATACATTGTCCCCGCATTATTTTCTGAATCAGAGTAATCCACCCAGGAACCACTAACAGATCTATTAATTCTTTGCGTGCAACATAGCAGAATCCCATATAACGTGCTCAGATGCTAGGACGTTTATCTACTTAACACGGCTGGGAGCAGAACAAATACTGAGAAAGTAAATTACGTTTTTCTTATTTTAGTTCAAAATTCTAAAATGTAGAAATTCTAAATGTAATGTTACATTGCATCCTATGATGTTAATTTTAATCACCAGTGACTTAGCCACAATTATTCACTTCTGGGATTAAAATGCCCACTATAGACACCAAAAAACAAAACAAAATCTGACTTATCCATTTGTACTTGCCTATCAGAAATCTCTTTTAATAACCATAATACACCCTCACCTGAATACCATCCCCAGTAAGAGAAAATACATGTAATACATGTTGATACAATAATTAAAATAAACATATTAAATCCTATTTTTGTACTATGTATTTTCCATCCAAAGGAACAGTCAGTATTTTATTGTAATTATTTATAAATTGTCCACTGTTAGCTTTCGATTATCTGTGTGCAGATTATCCATCACATTCTTTAAACCCAAGATGGCTTTTTCCTGTAATTATGTTTTTAGACTAACTTCCTGCTTTATTGGGTTTTCTTACAGGTGTTTACTGAATACAAGCATAACTTAAGACCTAAGTAAGAAGGTAAATATGCTGCTGGGAAAAAATGTAATATAAAGGCATTTCAAATCCAAGGAGATGTTATCTTTATAGTCTCCATTATCAGTTTAGAATTTTCAAGTTTCTGCTCTCTTCAATTCTTGTAATGAATATGGATAGCATAGCAAATCATTATGCCCACCCAGTAAGTACAACCTTCCTGGACCTGGATATTTTCTGTGCACCAAGCAAAACGTCAAGTACTGAGTAGGTATAGTTGTTGAAAATTTATTCTAAATATTATATCAATCCTGTTGCTTAATTGTTGTAGCTAAAGACCTAAGAACTATGAATTTTACCGTAATTTAATTTGTTACCTGACAATTCTGAGGGGGAATACTCCTTACTTCTCAGCTGTAGTGGATTATTAAGAACTATCTCTGATTATTTTTACTTACAATTACTTCGGTTTTACTTTTTAACCAAAAGAAAAATATCACATACCTTGTATCCCACTAATAATAATTTCTCATTAAAAATTAAAATGAAATAATAATGTGTATATGTTACATTGTGGTTCAATAACCATCAAGACTTATGTGAGTCCTAAGCCAGGTACTATTCTAAGTATTTTCCCCTTGATTCTTATAAAAATTTTATGAAACATATTCCATTGTTGCCCTTGTTTTTTTTATTTTTTAAATTTAATTTTTTTATTTGAATATAGTTGACACACAGTATTACATTAGTTTTGGTAATTATAGCATAATGATTGGACAAATTTTATACATTATACAATGCTCACAAGTATAGCTACCATCTGTCACCATACAATGCTATCATGATATCACTGACTATATTCTCTATTCTGCGCCTTTTATTCCTGTGACTTACTCATTCCATAACTGGAAGCCTATATCAACCACTCCCCTTTACCCATTTTGCCCCTTCCACAAACATCAGTTTGTTCTCTGATTCTGCTTTTTGTTTGCTTGTTTATTCATTTGTTTCTTTTTTAGATTCCACATAGGAGTGAAAATATATCTTATTTAGTCTGACTTACTTCACTTTTTACCCTGTAGGTCCATCCATGCTGTCAGAAATGATCCTACTCTTTGGATGTCTGTGTAATATTCATGTGTGTGAGTGTGTCTGAGTGTGTGTGTGTGTGTGTGTGTGTGTGTGTGTGTGATATCTTCCTTATCCATTCATGTATCAATGAACAGTTAGGTGGCTTCCATATCTTGGCCACTGTTATCCTTACCTTAACAACTGAGAAAACTGAGATGTAGAGAAATTAACTGGCTGAAGTTTCCATAGTACATAAGGGGAAGAACTGGTATTTTAATCCAGGACAGTTTGGTTTCAGATCCCATACACTTCACTACTAGATCATACCACCCCCCTGTTGACTTATCTGACTTTCCTATTGAAAAGAACACACACAAATGGTGCCTCCACCTCTCTCTCATACATATCTGAGTAAAACTCGTATGTCAGTTGTCTTTAACTCCCTTCTAGTGACAGCCTAGTCTGACAACATAACAAAAACTATCCCAAGGGGGGAAAAGGTCTTACCTTCTAAATCTTCTTTCTCAAAGTGTGTTTTGAGAATAGAACGAGTTCCACCTCTATCCACAACTGCCTCTTCATCATTTCTCTGTAGAATGGGAAGAAAGAAGATTAAATGATTTTACAGTAGTTCCTCTTTATCCATGGGGACATTTTTCAAGAACCCTGTGGATGCCTGAAATGACAGGTAACACCAAACTCTATATCAACTACATTTTTTGCTATATATACATACCTACAATAAAGTATAATTTTTAAATTAGGCACAGTAAGAGGTTAACAATAATAATAATGATGAAATAGAACAATTATAATATGGTATAATAAAAGTTATGTGAATGTGGTCTATTTTTTTCTCAAAATATTTTATCGTGCTATACTCATCCTTTTTATAATGATATGAGATGATAAAATGTCTATGTGATGAGATGAAGTGAGGTGAAAAACACAGTCACTGTGACATAGCCTTAGGCTACTATGGACTTTCTTTTTTTTTTTTTTTTTAAGATTTTATTTATTTGACAGAGAGAGAGATCACAAGTGGGCAGAGAGGTAGGCAGAGAGATAGGCAGAGAGAGAGAGAGGAGGAAGCAGGCTCCCCACAGAGCAGAGAGCCCGGTGCGGGACTCGATCCCAGGACCCTGAGATCATGACCTGAGCCGAAGGCAGAGGCTTAACCATTGAGCCACCCAGGTGCCCCTACTATGGACCTTCTGATGGTATGTCAGAAGGAAGATCATCTGCTTCCTAACCATGACTGACTTCAGATCAATGAAACCAGGGAGAGCAAAACCACAGATAAGAGTGGACTAATATACATATATTCTCGTAAGTTCAGAGAATAAACAATAATATAATCTAATATTTTAGGAGTTTAATTCAATAACTTAAACCTACTTGTACACAACTATTCTATTTGATTACCAAGTGTTAGTTTAAAAAGAAAAAGACTAAAATTAAGTTGACCATTTATTCAGAGAAGGAATGTCATTTGATTTTCCATGAAATCAAAGGTAGTCATACATTCCAGGTGCCATCATTTGGTAGTGAGATGAAAAACAGAAAATGGTTATCCTGACAATTTAGTAACATGCATTTTTATCTCTGAGAAAGAATTCTTGTTAACAAGATGACATTTTGAACTATATAAGGAAAACATGGAAATCATTAGTATTAACACTACTAATGCTATGGCAAGGTGAAATGATTCCACTGCCATTTAAAATAAGGTTGGCGAGATCTAATCTTTTGAAAGCAATTAGTAGTAGTTATTAGGTAAACTACAATTCTAATTACTTTGCTTCAATATAACACATTTTATTCAAACTAAACTTTTAATTATAATCATATACATTAAAGCTTCATTTAGTTTGTGTGTGTGTGTGTATATATATATGTGTGTGTGTGTATATATATATATTTTTTGTTACTTATTTAGAATGCCTGGATGGAGACTCTCTTCTTAACATTGTACACATGCTCAAAATGATACACTCACGCATTTGGTACTCAGTAAAATAATGGAGGAAGAATAAATATAATCCATTTAACCATGAAGGAATGAAAAAATACAGAATACTGAGCAAAGTGAAATATAGATTATTTCCAATTTTTTTTTATTGTGAGCACCTATGTAAAAATTGCCTTAAAAATGAACGCTGAACACAAAAGAGAAATGAAAAGGTAGACTAAAGAAAAATGAATCTTTCAACATCTATTTCTAAGCCTGTTCTTGTATTTGACTAGTAGAAAAATTACACATTCGTTTCTTCTTTGAAAGCTTTTTAATTCCCAGACATAATCTTGATGAAGATTTGGCCTCCGTGTCTTATAAATCAGTATTGTCAACTGTAGAATTACTGACTACAGACATATTTCAACCTAGAAATATCAGCTCTTATGTGCTTCACATGCAGGAAAACTTATAGTAGAATAACGTGTTTTATAGCCTTAGTCCTCTGTCTTTCAGACAACATGGGCTGAGACAGGTCAGGGCAAAGTGTCTGAAATCAGAGTGAAAAAGCCTATCCTACAAATGAAAGAATAAGGGAAATTAAGATAGGACTCAGAGCCTACTACTCTTGTGTTTGGCAAAGTTTTAAAAATCTGTTGGTCTGAGCAAAATAGCAATAGAAAAGACTAAAGAATTATATGTTTATAAAATTTTCCTGAACCAGACAAATGCAAATTACAGCCTCCTTAGAATCTGTTCTTGAAACATTTACAAATCACATTTATCCTCTGTGCAGGACATATTCAAATATATGTCACATTGGAATGTATCTCTGCCCTCTGGAGTGTTATTTGGAAGAACACCAAGAGCTAAGTCATGCATCCATGTTCAGAGATCAGAAGAAGCATGATTCCACTATATCTCACAATGGCAGTCTCTTAAAAAGAGCAAAATCAAAAGGTTTAATTAGAATATAAGAAGATATTTCCCCCTATACGATAAAATATTTAATTCTTATTTCAAGGGCCTAAATCAATTTTCAACTGATACAAAATGGTTTTTCTCCTTCTTATAATATAGCATATAAGCTCTCCACACACAAAAGATAATTCTACTAAATAACTAATGTTAAGATATCGAGATAAAATGAAACTTTGCAACAGAAGTAGAAGTGGAATCTAAATAGAAATAATTGGGGTGCCTGGGTGGCTCAGTGGGTTAAAGCCTCTGCCTTCGGCTCAGGTCATGATCCCAGGGTTCTGGGATCGAGCCCTGCATCGAGCCCTGCATCAGGCTCTCTGCTCAGCAGGGAGCCTGCTTCCTCCTCTCTCTCTCTGCCTGCCTCTCTGCCTACTCATGATCTTTGTCTGTCAAATAAATAAATAAAATCTTTAAAAATAAATAAATATAAATAGTTGATTATTTAATTACATTATGAATTCCAAGTAGACATGCCCTAATTTTAATGTTTCATTAGGAAAAAAAAAAACTTGAAACTAGAATATGAATGTAACTCAATGTAAGTGACTCATTTTGCATTTTCATATAACTTTACATTCTCTCCAGATAGGCCATAGAAACATCAAATGTATAATCTTTTATGCTGAAAATTCCCAAGATACAACTTAACACCAATACATATACTGAAATTCCTCTACTTTGGTTATAGTTCAAAATATAATTTCAATATTATTGAAGAACTTTTACTGGAGTGCTCCCTTTCCTCCTATTACCAAGCGCAAGTAAACATGGGTGTGATGAAGAGAATCCAGGTTGTGCAACAATCCCAAATATACCAGTAAGAACATTTTTATTTCAGTTTGTACTGTTACCCTTTGCAGATTTGTTGAACATCAAATACATTAATGTACCCAAATGTCCATATGTATTTACTCACTGAGAACAAATTTTAGCATCCTGTAGAAAGAGAGAAAACACGTAAATCTATTACGTTGCCATTCAATACAATTGACCCTTGTTACACTACTGGGTAAACATTTTTAAGATGATTTGTTCCAGTAAATAATATAAAACAATGTTTTAAAATTTTTGTTGGGGGGGGGCATGACACATAGTGACAGAAATATACTTAACAGACTCACATATTTATTTATATATATGTAATCAAAACAAGTTTCACAAACCAACATTTACCCTAACTATAAACAATGCAGTATGATATCTTCTATTCCAGGGTATTCTATTTCATTTTAAAAACACTAGTCACTATCCTTTAATTTTTTTTCCATTTTATTTTATTTATTTTCGGTATTCCAAAATTTATTGTTTATGCACCACACCCAGTGCTCCATGCAATAGTGACCTCCATAATACCCACCACCAGGCTCACCCATCCCCCACCCGCCTCCCCTCCAAAACCCTCAGTTTGTTTCTCAGAGTCCACAGTCTCTCATGGTTTGTCTCCCCCTCCGAATTCCCCATTTCACTTCTCCTCTCCAACTCCCAATGTCCTCCGTGTTATTCCTTATGTTCCACAAGTAAGTGAAACCATACGATATTTGACTCTCTCTGCTTGACTTATTTCACTCAGCATAATCTCTTCCAGTCCCATTCATGTTGATATAAAAGTTGGGTATTCATCCTTTCTGATGGAGGCATAATACTCCATTGTATATATGGACCATATCTTCTTTATCCATTTGTCCGTTGAAGGGCATCTTGGTTCTCTCCACAGTTTGGTGACTGTGGCCATTGCTGCTATGAACACTGGGGTACAGGTGGCCCTTCTTTTCATTACATCTGTATCTTTGGGGTAAATGCCCAGTAGTGCAATTTCAGGGTCATAGGGAAGCTCTATATGTAATTTCTTAAGGAATCCCCATACTGTTTTCCAAAGTGGCTATACCAACTTGCATTCCCACCAACAGTGTAAGAGGGTTCCCCTTTCTCCACTTCTCCACATCCCCAACACTTGTTGTTTACTGTCTTGTTGATTTTGGCCATTCTAACTGGTGTAAGGTATTATCTCAATGTGGTTTTGATTTGAATCTCCCTGATCGCTAATGATGATGAACATTTTTTCATTTGCCTGTTAGCCATTTGTATGTCTTCTTTGTAGAAGTGTCTAAATTTATTTCAGTACGTAGAAATGAGTTGTGACCTGCAATTTGGAAAACATTGATACACACTATGGCCCTGAAACAGTAACAGGAACCAAGTCACACAGAAATCACATCTTCATCACATCTTAAATTCATTTATGTAGGCCTTTAACCAAATGAACAAACAATACTATACTTTTCAAATCAGCATTTTTCCATTTTTAAAGTTTCTGTCATTTTAAGTGTAGGGACATATTATTATAATTGCATATATCACATATCTTCTGCAAACTATTTTTGTTTTGTTTTTCTTTCCACCAGGAAAGTAAATAGTTTGCTCTTCCTAGTTCCACTTAAGTACTTTTCTCCATGTCTTCCCAAGAAAGAAGTAACAAATAGTATTATCTACGGTCCCCTCCAGTTAGACCCTGCTTATGACTAAATCGAATTTATACTCAGCTATTTTAAAGGCAAACTCCATATAACTGGCATAACCCAAACGCATTTTATAATTTTCTATAATTTGATTACTTCTAAACATTAAGACATTGGTGTTTTGAATACAAATGTATA